CAGCGGAGCTCGAACTCAGGTCTGTGTATTTCAACAGTTCGGGGGGTGTACCAACTCAGCTACGCCCGGTCATTTTTTTTTTTTCCGTATCTGGACTGAAAGTTGCACCAAATACAGCTACGATGACCGGGCGTTCTATTCGGGTGAAGACGGTAGTGTGAAGAAGGGAAAGAGAGCAAACGGAGGCGCAAAGGAGCAGCCAGCCAAACACAAGCAGAGAGAGGAAGTCGGGACCAGATACATCGCGACCAGATACAAACGGAGGAGATGGGAGTTGGAAACGGAACAGGCAAACGGTAGCAAACGGAATCAACAACGGGCAAGGATGGAGAAAATAGAGAGTAGTACTGACAAGCAGCGATGGCCAAGTAGCCACTTTTTTTTCTTTTTTTTTTCTTGTTTTAAAAATAAAATTGTAATTTTTTTCTTTTTTTTTCTTTTTTTAAAAATGAAATTGTAAATTTACAAGCAAATGATTACAACAATGGAACGGATCCGATCCGCGGTGCGACTCTATATTGCCCATCAAAATCTCGCAAGCAAAAAAAAAAAAAAAACAAAAAAAAAAACGGAAAGCAAACGGTAGCAAACGGGATTAAGAAAAGATGAAAGAAGATAAAATTGACAAGCAAACGGAATTAAGTTCAATAACTTTAATTAACAAAGGGCTTTTTTTTTTAAATAGCTCTGCACGGGCCAGATTCTCAGACCGCGCATTTTGTATCTTCATATATTATGGAGTCCCAAAAAAACGGAATGCAAACGGTAGCAAACGGAATTAAGTTCAATTAACAAAGGGCAAGGATAAAGAAAATAGACAAAAAAAAGTGACGACCAATGCCCAAACAAACAACTTTTTTTTCTTTTTTTTTCCTTTCTTTTTTTTTCTTTTTTTTTTTCTTTTTTTTTTTTACTTCGAAACAAAACAATACAACTTTACACGCAAATCATTCCAGCAATTGAAAAGAGCCATCCCGCCATGATGAGAATCATATCACAAAAGCCGTCTGGAAAAAAAAAAAAAAAGGAATTAAGCTCAATTAACCAAAAAAAAAAAAGGAATCAATTAACAAAAAAAAAAGGGATTAAGTTCAATTAACCAAAAAAAAAAAAAAAACCTATTGAAAAGATCCGCCGGGTAAATAAATGGGGTTCGAAACGGTTGCAAACGGAAGTAACATGGCAAGGACGGAGAAAAAGCGAAAAAAGCGAAAATTGTGCAAAACAAAAGCTGAATTGGTCATTTGACGCTTCCATTCTCTCTCTCTCTCTCTCAAAAAAAAAAAAAAAGGGAAGAGCAGGAGATGACGAACGAGGAGGAGGAGGAGGAGGGAAGAGGAGGAGAAGAAGAAGAAGAAGAAGAAGAAGAAGAAGAAGAAGAAGCAATGGACAAGCAGGACGAGGAGGAGGAGGAGGAGGGAGGAGAAGCAGGAGGAGAAGCAGGAGGAGGAGGAGGAGGAGGAGGGGAGAGAGCTCAGCTCTCGAGAGACGGACGAGCAAATGGAGAGATATAGCCAGCCAACGAAAAAAAAAAAAAAAAAAAAGGGTGGACCAGGACGCAAACGGAGGGGATCAGAGTTCGAAACGTAATGCAAACGGTACCAAACGGCATGAACAAAAAATGGGCAAGGATGAACGGACAAAGCGGCCAAATTTCTGCCGCAGAGATGTGCAGATCCATCAAAAAATTCACCCCTCCCCCCCCCAACCTGAAAAAAAAAAGGGGAAGGGCACTGGGGGAGATTTACTGTATTTCCTAAGAGAATGGTTTGCTCGACAGAGAGCTAAGAAGGGGGAGAGGGGGAGGGGGGGGGAGGGGAACTGGGTAAAGCGGCCAGCATTTGTTTCCAGGTAGAATTTTGAGAGTTCCCAGGCGTCGGACATTTTACGAATTATAATGATTGTTAAAAAAAAAAAGAAAAAAAAAAGGAGGGGGGAACGCTAGAGATACCCGACCAACAAACGACGACAGGAGGGAACGACAACGGTAGCAAACGGTAGCAAACGGAGTCCATAGGCGAAGATCCAATCCGAGCGAGCTGAGGATGAAGACGAAGGGAGGAATTAAAAAAAAAAAAAAAAAAAAAAAAAGCGAGCAGGAGGGGAAAGCAAAGCTAACGGAAAAAATCCCAACGAACGGTAACGGAAATAAATGGTAACGGAAATGAATGGAGATGTTGATGACTATAGGGGCCATATGAACCTTAATAAAGTGGGGGGGGAAAAAAAGAAAAGGAGATGGACACTGATGGAGATCAGGAGCAGCACGGAAGCAGAGGGCAAAACTGAGTTCGGAGATGGAGATGGACTTACGCACAGAACCAAAACAAAACAAAACAAAAAGTGAGATCGTGATGGCGCGGGGGAGAGAGAGAGAGAGAGAGAGAGAGAGAGAGAGAGAGAGAGAGAGAGAGAGATGGAGATGGAAAAAGAAAGAAAAAGAAAGGGAAGAAGAAAGAGATGGAAACAGATGGAGATGGAGATGGACATGGAGATGGAGATGAGATGGAGATGAGGGAGAGGGAGAGGGAGGGGGAGAGGAAGAGGGAGAGGGAGAGGGAGAGGGAGAGGGAGAGGGGGAAGGAGGTGATTGGACTCAGTCGTGATGTAAAAATCTTGATCGGATCACATCAAACACCACAACGAGTGAGCAATTTCCTTGAAGTTGGTCAGAAATGAACTCGAGGGGACAAAAGGGAAAGAAAAAAAACAAAAAAACAAAAAAGGAGAGAAAATTCACGGCCAAAATATCGTGGGCAAGGAAAAAAAGATAAAAAAAATTGAAGATGGAGATGGAGATGGAGATGAGATAGAGATGAGGGAGAGGGAGAGGGAGAGGGAGAGGGAGAAGGAGATGTTTTCGTCCTGTCGTGATGTATAAATCTTGGTCAGATCACATCAGACAAAATCAAGCTAGCATTGTTTCCTTAAAGTTGGTTAAAAATAGACCCAAGAAGATGCAATTTTTTTTTGAAGTAGAAAAGTCAAAACCCTTTATTTCAACAATAGAAATAGATAACAGAAACGATGGAGATTTTTGCATAAGCAGGATGGAGTAAAGGGGAGGTCCCTCCTGGAGCCCAAAAACAAATCCCAAAAAAAAAAAAAACAGAAAAAATACAATATCGAGGAATAATAACCTTAGGAGTAGTGGTAGGTAGGTAGGTAGCTAAAAGGTGAAATTGACAAAAAAATATAGCTCTTTTATTAAAAAAAAAATCTATATTATTAATAGTAATTAAATAATTAAAAAAATCAAGGAAAGGAGAGGAGGAGGGTCGTTCACACCTGCGTCAGGGTTTGGCATAAGGATATTATTACCAAAGGGACACTCTTGATATACTTTTCCGTCCGCTTCCGTGCGCTTCCGTGCGCTTCCGTGCGCTTAACGCAGCGGCCTTCGTACACGAGGAAGGCCCGTAATTAGATGAGCGGAGCGATTGCCACGTGGCAAGAGATCACGGACCGTGATGGCCACGTGGATGGGCGACAGACACGTGGACGCAGAGATGAAGAGAGAACTGCCATCATTCATGTCCTAACTGTTCAGCGTGCGCGAATCGTCGGAGGCGGGGTAACGGAGAAGAGGGGGGGGAGGCCTGAGGGGTGAGGAGGAGGAGGTCACGTGGAGGGGGAGGGGGAGGGGGAGGGGGAGGGGGACGGCAAGGGTAGCCGGCGCCAAGCGCGGGGGGGCGGGCTCACAGCAGGAAGACAGACGAGGGTTGTCGTTTCCTCTCAGACTGACAAGAACCCTCAACTGGATCACAGAGGAGGGGTCACTACAGACAAAAGAACTAAGGGTGTACTCACACTAGCAGTATCTTGAATGTACCTGGCCGCATTGACGGCCATACCTGGACGTATCTGGCCGAAATTCCGTCCAGAAATGGGTAAAAAAGTCGTAGTGTGAGTATGGCCTAAGGGTCAGGGACCACTGGTGCTAGGTTCATCCTCGCAAAGCATGAACCTGGAACTTAGAACTGTTATGTTCGTGCTACCACGAACCGGGTAGCACCACTTCCACATTGCCATACGGCATCGCTCCACTACTCGCGACATGCACAAACGACAAAAACTCATGGCGGTGTATACGACAAAAACTCTTGGCGGTGTATATTTCCATGTTCTTTTTTTTTCTTTTTTTTCTTTTTCTTTTTTTTTATTTCCATGTTCTACCAGAGGCTCATTTGGAGAGTTGTGGAGCGAGGCCCATATTCATTCGACCCCTTCCGCTTCCACTTGGGGCTGGGGGGCTGCCCCGCCTTGGTGCTTATCACTGCTGTCTTGTCCAAGTTGCCCTCGATAATGGTAGGGTGATGGTCCTGAGTGCTGGTCACACTGAGGGCATACTCACACCGCGACCCCAAATCCGCAAAATATGAGGATTTGGGAAGAGCCGATTTGAGGTTTTGGGCATGGCTCACGTCACACTGCTGTACCTTTGCTGTACCAAAACCGCATATTCCCCAAAATAACCAAAAAATGGGGTCCAGAGGTAGTCACACTGGGTGCACAATTTCGCAAATCACTTATTCCCGAACCCTTTTGTCAGCGGCCTGAGAGGCCGCGGGGGTTGGGAATTTGCGGCAACCTCAAATTCCTTATTCTTTTTTCTTTTTTTTTTTCAGAAATGACTTGAGAATGGAATGGCAAGATATAGGCGCCATATCAATTGAAAATGAGGAATTTGGGCAAATGGGTGACCTCGTCGGCCGGTCAGACGCAAGAAGAGAGTTCCTGAACAACGAAGAAAACAAAAAAAACAAAAAAACAGTTCAGGGAAAAAGGGTCGGCGTACAACATTGAACTCAAGCACTTCGAAGCTAAGGCTCGGAAGAAAAAAAAAAAAAAAAAACAGAGGAGCCTGATGCATGACCACTTTGGTTGGTCTTCATAGGAGCGCCGAGAAAAAAAAAAAAAAAAAAAAACAGCACACGTGTGTGTATGTGTGTGCGTGGGTGGGTGGTGGGTGTGAGAGAGAAAGGCTTGACAATCAGACGGCGTGGGTTGGGGAGAGGCGAGCTCTGTTCTTGCTCCAGACACTCGACATCATTGTCATCATCATCGTCATCATCATCATCATCCTACGTCCGCCTTCTCCTCATCATCATCATAATCATCATCATAATCACCATCATAATCATCATCATAATCATCATCATCATCATCACCATCATCATAATCATCATCATCCTGATCATCATCATCATAATCACCATCATCATAATCATCATCATCGTCATCATCATCATCATCCCGCGTCCACCTCGTCATGACAAACTCTGCAAACATTCCACAATTCAGAATGTAGCCCGCCAACACGTGCTGCCTTCAGCTTCCCCACTAACGAATACAGACAACAAACCAGCAGGATGAATGTAAAAAAACATTAATTTTCTCCTATTTCTGTTACAAAAAAAAAAAAATTTACGACGCAGGATGCGGACTGGTGGTGATGCGACGCACGCCAACTTATTGAATGATAAATTAATAACGAACATTAGATGCATCTGGCCAAAGCACCAGTAAGTAATCAATCGAACGCTACTCTCTCTCTCTTTCTCTCTCTCTCTCTCTCTCTCTCTCTCTCTCTCTCTCTCTCTCTCTCTCTCTCTCTCTCTCTCTCTCTCTCTCTCTCT